AAATTTTTCTAAAAGCTTTTATAAGATAGAAAGATTTAAGAATTGCTGTTACAGAAAAAATGTAGACACCAAGCATTCTTGCAGCAACCTTTGTTAAAACTAAAAAATTTAAAATTTATTAATAAAAATGGCCGTGAATGTACAGTACCCCAGTATAAAGAACTAGATAAATACCATAAAAAGTTTTATGAAATTGTGACAGTTTTTGTCCAAGAAAAAGCTAAAAATTATGAGACCCCGCAATATATTCCAATGCAATCGAATTTTTTTTCGGGCAAATAAATTTAGGGACAATAACCCGACTTGCCACAATTTCATAAATACTTTTAAAATTTTATTATTTACAGGATTCATTAAGTTTCACAGCTCATCTTTTAATTGTGGAGATGATGTTATTACATAATTATTAAAAATAAAGAGCCTGTTTAAAGGACATGAAAAGGAAGTGAGTAACGAAAGTGGTGAAACTGGTGATTCTTTTATTGATACTTATCCATTAATTCTAGAAGCAATTATATTTATTTAATATGTGTGCTTATTAATAAATCATGCAACATTAAATAATAATTATAGTTTTGAGCATATTCCATGCCGAAACACATGTCTAGTACTGAAGTAATAGACGCCTTTTTTATCGATAATAATAAAATTAGGTATAAATAACTGGTGCACTATTATCAATAAAATTTTAAAAGGTGTAGATATTTTTCGCTTAGAAAAAAGGCAGCTGCTAGAAATGCAAGGTAAAGCTCTGTTCAAATATAAAAAAAATCTAGAAAAATAAAGAATAAATAGATTTCAACATTGTTTCATTTGTATTTACCTCGTTTTATTTTCAACATAATAATATTATTTGGGGTCACCTTTGCCGTGTATAGCTGCTTCAAATTAAAAAAAAGAAATGTCATATATAATTTTGCTACAACCAACGATGCAGAAGCTAAGTCGAGTAAGTTTAGTTCATGACTCAGGCGTTGCCAACATGTGGGGGAATTCCCCAAATTGAAGGGAATTTAAAGTTGGTTGGCGATTAATATTATGCCAGGATTTTGAAAATCGTTAGCCCGGGCCAAGTCAGGACCTTTTTTCGAGAAATCTAATTACTGTGGTACTTTTTAATGGCAAAAAGGAAAGGAATTAAAAATACTCCATGGAGTAAACTGCTTCTTACAAAAATATTTGTAAGAAGCAGTTTAATATATAATTTTCAACAGTGGTAGAGCCACGCGGCAGCTTTTGCTGTCGCACGGATGGGCCGGCTCGAACCAGGGTAGTACCACGACCTCACAGAAAACCAGTGTGAAGTAGAGGTTTACCTCTGCGTTTCGCTTGGTGAGTGCAGGTGGCCGGAGGCCCTTTTTACTGGAAATGAAGTATTCCATCTTAGTCCTCACGGGTGACAACGCATCTACATTTTGATTTGTAGGAGTAGTACAGAGGATCGATGTAGATGTATGGGCCGCAGCAACCACTTACCATCAGGTGGACTGTGTTCTCGTTTGTCACCCTCATTCTTTAAAAAAAAATATGGAGTGAAAAAAATATTTCGTTAAAAAAGAAAAAAAATGTTAGTTAAAATAAATCTTAAAAAATTGGTTGAAAATTGTTTCATTTTTTAAAATATAATCTGTGGAATCTGTTGAAGTTTTGTACTTAAATTCATAGACCTAGAAAAAAGGGCGGACAGAGTCTCGCTAAGAAACAATGGAAGCGTCGCAGTGACGGCCGCGTAACTATGTGTGAGCGTGTAGAGGGTTGCCAGATGGAGGAAAATTACCCATCTTTATAGGCAAAATAATTCAATTAGGTTTAAAACATTCGTCACCGTCCTCGGAACCAGGACTTTAAGCTTAATAAAACAAAATTGTAATAAAACACATTGAATATAAAAATATTTACATTTATTAATATTATATTTAATTTACATTTATAAACGGTTTTTAGAGACCCTTTTGTTTAGTAAATTTTTTATAATATTGTCTTTTACTGTCAAAATATTTAGAAATCCCCTCCACTTTAGCTATATGGTGAAAACGAATATTCCGATATTTTTAGCTATATATTTAATTAAAGCTATTTTATGTTCTATTCCAGCAAATGCATGGTCAAATTCTAAATTAAAAAAATCCTGTCGTTAGCTATAAATTTTTTTATAGAATTTTGGTTAGCATGTTGTCTTTCAGTATATATAGTTATATTATCTCTTAAATGCTTTCGGATCACCATCTCGCAAGTACAACAAAAGAGTTCTTTTAAGTATATTTAATACAAACTTTTAAAAAAAAAGTTTATTTTTTAAAAGTATAACCTATTCAACTAAAAAGGAATCATCGAAAACGGTTTGAGATTGTCGGTGTAACTTAAAAAAACATTCAGTCGACTTGAAAACCTACTTTTTTTCAAGTCGATTAAAAAACCATTCCCTCCCTAACAGGTTTTTTAATGATACTTTATTAGTACATTACCCATGCAAAGCACTGGAAGTATTTGCTTCAGCGAGTTGTTCCTCTGGAACGCTTGACGTCTCGAATAAAAACTAAAAAATTAATTACGTTTTAATATGTTAAGCTTATCATTGTAAGAGGAAAAAGATATTTATTGTGCTTTATCTTTTTTTGGGATGGCATAAGTAACAACGCGAAGAACCATCCCAACCTTTTGTTGTGTATAAATCATTTTCCTCGAAATGTTTACTGCAGATTACACTAGATTCCGATGGATTCCAATTGTTTTCATTTCTACAGTCTTATTATTTGCACCCAGTCATTCTTCCACACATCATTTGCAGAGGGAAATCTATAAAATGTAAAATTTATAATATTGGTAGTTTAATATCATGGGACGCCAAAAGTATATACAGAGGTAGATTAATGAATTACGGAACAATTCAAAGTGAACAATAAGATATTAATCTCCCATATTTAAGATAACTTGCAAATTTAACAACTGGCAACACTGATTAGTTTCGTGTTTTGATAATAATTTTTGTTTGTTAATAAAATGTTTTGATAATAAAGTTTGAAATAAATTAAAGTAACAACGAGAAATAAGGTGAATAAATTACTTACTTACCTATGAAAAGTGATCCCCTGGCTTTTTTTAATGTAACCACTATGATTTCGACAGGTTTTCAATACAATATTACGCGGACGCGGTTTGGAGCGTAATGGCGGGCGGTAGACTTACTATGGTGTGCATGTGTGCGTGCCGGCTTGTTTGTATTAGCGAGCTGACTTTGTATGCAATGATGCCAACTTAGCAACTTTATAGCTAGGTATAGCTATTTTTTGGTGACGGACAGCTACAATTTAATGAAATTTGTAGCTAAACTTTTTAGCTACTTTTTCTAGCAACTTTTCATTTCATCATGAAATGTGAGACTATCGAGATTCGTAGAATAGGGTACCGAGTCTTAAAAGAAAAATAAAAACTAAACGAGAATCTATGGTCATAATAGATGCTACGGCTATGGTAGGTTTAGGTCGGTGTTGGCCGGGAATTCCCCGTTTCCTGCTGCGTTACGACAGATTACTCACTATCACTAATCTACCACTACCACTAACCAAAATAGTACACGCTACTCGTATTCTACCTTATGTTGTTTTGTTTTATCCATATAAACTAATTTTATTTGAAAATGGATTTATCTTCGAAAAAAAAGCGTATGCACAGAAATATAGACCGAAGTGGGAAAATATGTACGAATTTAAAGGTTGGTTGAGTATCATAACTAAACTCAATCCTCTGCATTAGTGACTCCCTCAGGAAAAGTGGTAATTGCTGCTATAACCGTGTTTTATCTAAAGATGTACTGTATAAAATGGGCACCGCTGTGAAATATTCGGAATTAACGACGATAGACACTGAACCCCAAATATCGACATCTTCTTCTTTGATTGATTAATTTTAAGCTTTTTTTTATTCAATAACGTACAGTCACGAGCAATAATATGTAAACAACATAGAACTTTGTCACGTTAAACGTTCCGAAACAAAACTATTTGTGCCACAAAAGTCGACAATAAATATAAAAAAAATCCTTTGTTGTTTACATATTATTGCTTGTGACTGTACACAAGACATTTTTAACTCTCTTGTCGGAAATTGAAAATTATTGTCAGAAATTGGCATTTTATTGTAATCTACCTACGTACATTTAGCTACTTCTAGCAACTTTTGGGGGTAAAAAAAGCTGGCAATCTAGCAATATTTTGAAAAATGTCTAGCAACTGGGTAAAGCTAGCAGTTAGCAACACTGTTAGTATGGGCGCGTCAGTAATTGTTTTAAGACACGGCGTCCGCCCTTTTTTCTAGGTCCATGCTTAAATTGGGGAATTTGACATGGATTTTCGGGGAATATGACAAATTGATGTTGGCAATGCAGATTAGTAATTGTTATTTGGTATTTGCTAAATGCTAATTTTTTTTTTGGAGTTTATGGCCTGGCATCTAGACCTTTAGGCCAAGTCTTGAGTATTTTTATTCGGTTTATTATAATTTCCCCACTGTATTTTTGATGAATTTATATAGAGGCACGTAATAGGATTAGGATCTATTTTTTAACATATCACTCAGGCGGCGGGAAGAATCTTGCACTGTCACTTGATTTTGCACTATGTCACTAATTTCACTGACAAGAATCACTAAATGCTAATTGTTTAATATGCATCACAGAGTACCTTTGTATAAACCGAAATATGTATTATGCTTATGCACAGACTAATATGATACATACGTATTTTATATGTACCCGAAAGATTTTTATACACAAATCACAAACCTTTACTAACTACTTTGTAGTTAGTAAAGGTACAAACTTATTGTACTAATCACTAAGTTTTATCACTTATTGTTGTTTAGTAGTTTTTTTTGGTTAAAGTATACATAACCTCAACCTCATCTCATTCTCATTTGATTCTGGTTCGAAATTTCATAAAGTGTGTTGTATTTATTGTAGTGATGAATATCATTTTAAAATACTGATTAAATATTAAATTTCAATGAAGTCATTATTGCGTTGTTCATATTCTGCTCGCGCTTTCCTACTTAAGTCGCGTGCAAGTAGTTCGCAAACCACTGGAACTAATAAAGAAGAAAGTCCTCTAAAGCGACTGTTGGATGATGCAAGTTCGTTTGGTGATGTTTCAAACTTGGAACCAGAACTACGTTGGGCAACTGAACCATATGCGAGGGTTATTGCCGATGAGCCAGTAAAACGCGTAGATCCACGCGAAACTACAGTGTTACTATTTCCCGGGCAAGGTTCACATCATGTTGGCATGGGAAAGAGACTACTTGACTTGCCGGCCGCACGTGAACTCTATGAGTTGGCCTCCAATGTTGTTGGGTATGCACATACTATTTTCCTTTTTTTTTTTAATGATAGGGTGACAAACGAGCACACAGTCCACCTGATGGTAAGTGGTTGCTATGACCCATAGACATCTATATCTATCCTCAATAAATAATGAAAATGCAAATGTGTTATCACCCGTGAGGGCTAAGATGGAATGCCTCTTTCCCAGTATGAGACAGCAGTGTTAAGCTGCTATTTTATGCTGGTATTTTGTGAGAGTGTGGTCCTTCCCTGGTCGAGTTGACCAATTGAATTGAATTGAATAAATGGGCTGTTTTCTGCAACTCCATGTCTAAGTGCATATTTCGTGTGTGGGCATGAACAATGTATTTATTTGAGCCTAATGAGTCGACCCATTCATGCTACAACTATACTACTAATATTTTTTTTTATAGGATAAGGGTGACATACGAGCACACAGTCCACCTGATGGTAAGTGGTTGCTGTGGCCCATAGACATCTACATCTATCCTCAATAGAGACTCAAGATGCAGATGCGTTGTCACCCGTGAGGACTAAGATGGAATGCCTCTTTGCCAGTAAAAAGGGTCTCCGCCCACATGCACTCACCAAGCGAAACGCAGAGGTAAACCTCTACTTCACGCTGGTTTTCTGTGAGGTCGTGGTACCACCCCGGTTCGAGCCGGCCCATCCGTGCGACAGCAAAAGCTGCCACGTGGCTCTACCACTGTTAAAAAATATAGCTGCAGCATGGGTCTACCACATATAAACCCTTCTCAATATAAAAACTGTTTGTACAAATGTCAATCACAATAGTTACAACAACTAAACACCTGTGCTTGATCTACCATATGATCATTCACTGATTGACATTCACATTAAATAGTTTTTTTTTATAGAAGGAAGAAAAAAAATCATATGGTTCCTGATGGTAATTGTATGACATCGTCCTTATACATCTATCTTGATTAAGAACAACTTCAACAATTTTCTTTGTGAAAAAATTGCATTAATTAACAATAGAAATGTTCATAATATATGACTCACAGGACCTTACAGAAAATAAGATTTATCAAAATTAGACATGAAATTAGAATATGAGAATATTTCAAATAACAGAGAGATTCATATTTTACTACTGAAAAAATCATAAATTATTGTTTATTTGTTATGGCATAGAATGGAATAGAATAATTTTTATTTTACATAGATTATTAGTTACATTAAACAACTACATTATTGGTTATCTTGAAAATACCACTAGTTTGAAAAAATCTCTGCTCTGGGAAGAACTAGCAAGATTTTTAAATCAAACAATTATAAAGAAAATTTACTTCTTCATTTTGTACTACATATCCATACATATTATTTGAAAAACAAATACTAATAGGGTGAATATCCCAATAATAAATGAATATTAGAATCTTGAAATAGGATGCCCTAACACTTATCACAAGTGTGTGCTATCAACTTTAACCTAGTGCTAGTTTCAAGGCTTTGTGGTGTGTACTGATAGTTTAACCCATTCATTGCAACATCAATTTTCGAAAACTTCTAGCTGTGGCTGCGAACAAATATATTGTGACACACCTGGTATGACAAGCGCCATAGAAGTTGATGACATGCCTATTGTGGCATCAGCCATGTGTAAAAAATGTCCTTTTTATGCTTTTTTTTTACTTGTTTAGACCTGATTAAGTTTAGTTGACATCAAACATTAGTTGCAAATAGTAGGATACTTGTTTTAAGTGGCTAACTACATGTTTTTCTACATATTTTCCTTCAAACCTTTTATACTATTTTTTGTTTTAATAATTTTTTTTTTAATTTAAATAAGTAGGCACAACTAAATCACCCTGAAAAACCTTGGTTTTTATTAATTAAAATTTCACTAAATAATAATGTTTGTAAATATCAAAGAATCAAGAACCTTAATTTGTAAAAAATAAGGTTTATTATTTGTTGATGTTTACAAATATTATTATTTGGTGAAAATGTGACTATTCTATGATACCAAAGTTACAGCGGAGACTTCTCAATATGGTTTAGCTGTGGTATGTGTTCTATGGGAAATGTACCAGGGTTAAATTAATAATATTATTGTATGTAACATAGCAATGACTTAATTTTTTTAGAATCAAATTGAAACCGCAAGTATATTCCTGAGACAGAGATTGATGACGACAAAACTTAATGTCAGGACATCTGATTAGTAAATATATAAATGTATCTGATTAGTAGTACCTAGTAGTAGTAAAACAAAAACGTTTTCAAAAAGAAAAAAACAATAGGTAGATGCGCCGGCGAACGAATAATACATTCCAGATATAGATATTAATGACTCCTAGAAAACTGTGAAATAAAATCTTAAAAAACGTTTATAAAATATAGGCCGTTGAATAAATTTATGGCGTGATTGTCTTAGTTAGGACTCTTATTTACGTTGTGTTTGTATAGTAACTTAGTTGTTTTAGGTGTCTCTTGGAAGAATGAATATTCACTAGAGCAGCAGAAAGCTGTTGGTAGTGTCTTATAGCTAAAGAACTCCATTCACAAAGACAGAGATCAAAAAGGTTAAGAACAATAAATTGTCCCTATTCCACTTGTATCAGGTTCACAACAGTCAATTCCTTATTAATTAATCCCTTTCCGCTTGAAAACGGCTCACAATATTTATATCAAGTACCAGATACAAGGGCTTCGCTCTCCCATGGCTCCACACACGCCATGTGCGGTGAGCGCCAACCAAGCAACGCTCTCCCCCGAAGGGGACGTTTAATTGGGAACAGGACCGTAGTCCACAGCAAAACAACTGGCGAACCAGTGAAAGAGGGCTTGGCCCCTTGGTAGTGCGTAAGCACAAATATCGACCGAAGTCGCGCATGTCAACGTGTGTAAACGCCATACAGAATACGATCAAATCCAGCCACAGTGATCTACGTGACACGGATTAGGCAACAATAGGCACACCGGCCATAAAAAGCCCTCCGTGAGTGCCACCACCTGTCAGACCGCCGTTCCTGCAGACGTGATGTAAGTGTAAGGCATCACCACCAATTAAATGATCAGATCACCTCAAGGGAATGGCGTCCCACGTTGCGTGGCTTTCGGCCGCAGCCTTGAGAGCCTACTCAGATTCTCCCTCCAGCTACCACCCGCATGAGGTCGACACATATGCTCCACCAACCAAAACAATGGCAGATATAGCCAATAGGCAGTTATAAGATAATAGTAATAATTTGCCATCAGAAAGGGTTTGTGTCACTGACGTTGAGCATATGCATTTTTCGATCATGTTTGTCTCATCCACCAACAAGTTGCCTTCAATCACTCAAAGGTGGTGGTGCTAAGAATCTCCGGTGGAGGTTCGGTTGCCACCTAAGACGACTCGACCTAGCAACATACAACGCACGCACCCTGAGTACTGACGAGAAGATCGTGGAGCCCGAAGAAGAGATTGACAAGTTACGCTGGCATATTATAGGATTATCCGAAGTCTGAAGAGAGGGGGAGGATACGGTAATCCTCGAATCCGGCAAGTTGCTCTATCACCGGGACGGCGACCATCTGTCCCAAGGAGGTGTCGGATTTATCGTCCACAAGTCTCTCGTTAACAACGTTGTAAAGATTGTGAGTGTGTCGACGAGGGTTGCGTACCTTATACTCAGAATCACCAAACGGTATTCGCTGAAGGTCATACAGGTTTACGCACCAACCTCGGCATACCCCGATGAGGAGATGGAGGAAATGTATGAGGATATCTCTAGAGCCATGCATTCCTCCAAAACTCAATATATGGTGTTAATGGGAGACTTCAATGCAAAAAAAAAATATTTGTAAGAAGCAGTTTAATATATAATTTTCAACAGTGGTAGAGCCACGCGGCAGCTTTTGCTGTCGCACGGATGGGCCGGCTCGAACCAGGGTAGTACCACGACCTCACAGAAAACCAGCGTGAAGTAGAGGTTTACCTCTGCGTTTCGTTTGGTGAATGCAGGTGGCCGGAGGCCCTTTTTACTCGAAATGAGGTATTCCATCTTAGTCCTCACGGGTGACAACGCATCTACATTTTGATTTGTAACAGAGGATAGATGTAGATGTCTATGGGCCGCAGCAACTACGGGCCGCAGCAACTACTTACCATCAGGTGGACTGTGTGCTCGTTTGTCACCCTTATCCTATAAAAAAAAATAATAATAATAATAATAATAGTTATTTAAATGTATGTTGGTGCTATTGTCATGCTTTTATGTTGTCAACGAGGATTATGTACAAATGATTGTATTTATCAACATTGCGGGTTATTAAAAAGAGAAACACAGCCGTATTGTCATCCCAAGAGCCAAATCACATCAGATTATGATACAATGGTGCTGCATTAGGTTGTGGGGTAATGAGTTCGAATTTGGCATGACACAAGTCTTTGTCTCATTTCTTTTCCTATTGTAGGGGTCATGTTTGATAAAAGATGTTAGTATAGTATATAGTAAAACTATATTAGTAAATGATAAATGCAGCAACATGTCGTGTGTTTACGCAGATGGGACGTCGCGCGAGTGTGCACGGAGGGTCCCGACGACGAGCTGGAGCGACGTCAGCAGGTGTGCGTGCTGGTGACCGCGCTGGCGGCGCTGGAGCGCGTGCGCGACGAGCGGCCCGGCGCGCTGGAGCGCGTGCGCGCCGCCGCCGGCTTCTCGGTGGGCGAGGTCGCCGCGCTCGTGTTCGCGGACGCGCTGTCGTTCGAGGGCGCGCTGCGGTTCGTCGAGTTGCGTGCGGCGGCCGCGGAGGCGGCGGCGGCGGAGCGCGCCGGCGGCACGCTGATGCTGTGGCTGGCGCCGGACGCGCGGCTCGGCGACGCGCTGCGGCGCGCGCGCGACCACGCGGCCGAGTGCGGCGTGGCGGCGCCCGTGTGCGCCGTGGCCGCCTACATGCACGCCGGCTGCAAGGCCGTGGCGGGCGACGAGGCGGCGCTGCGCTGGCTGCGCGCGCACGGCGCCGCCTGGGGCGTGCGGCGCGCCGCCCCCGTGCGCGGCGCCGCGCTGCACTCGCCGCTCATGGCGCGCGCCGCGGACGCACTGCGCGAGGCGCTGCGACACATACAGGTAATTTGTTTTTGAAGTGAAAGCGTCTTTAGAATCATTGCGATCTGAAACTAGATGAAACGAAAACATACATCTATAGGATGAGCCTGCGAGAGAATAAGATAGAATACAGTATACAGTGTTTCCTATTATGTATGGAGATTATGATCTATGAGTAGTAATGATTTAGGACGGAATTTATTGATTAGGAAATGTTTAAATATTTACAATAATGAAATTGAATTTTAAACTTGATATTAATATTATAATAATTTATTGAATTCGTCTCATTCTCTCGAATTTTAGTTTTCTGAAAGTTAGACTTCTATTGCATGTGAAATCCACACATGTTTTTTATAGATAATAACAAATCATCATACAGTCCACCTGATAGTAAGTGAATGTTGTCGCTCATAGACATCATCAAATCTCGTCTAATCAAAGTCTTGGAACTAAACATTGTATCCCTGAATAGGTAAATTTTATTCTTTCTCCATGATATGCACTGAGGTGAGTGTGCAGGTGCGCGCGCCGCGGCTGCGCGTGGTGTCGTGCGTGGACGCGCAGGCGCTGCGCGACGCCACGCACACGCGGCGCCAGCTGGCGCGCCAGGCGCTGCGGCCGCTGCGCTGGGAGCAGGCGCTGCACGCGCTGTACGCGCGCCCGCGCGCCGAGCCGCAGCCGCTGACGCTGGCGCTGGGCCCGGCCGCCGCGCTGCGCTCCACGCTGCGCCTCGTCAACGCGCGCGCCTGGGACGCCTCCCTGCAGATCGACGTCTGACTGCGCCCGTTCCTACCGCGTCTCACTGACCTTTTATAACTCCATACCTATTTTTAAGTTAGATTTTAGAACGCACCTGAATAAATTATATTACGAATGATGTTTCTTTATTGACTATATTATATTCATGATCCCTATGGTATAGTCGTCATTCCGTAAGTGTCGTTAAATATGATAATGGAAATGTTTGCACCGACAAATCAAACTGCAAAATGAATTAAAAGTTGCAGTTGCCACCTCACCTGAAGTTTCTTCTTAATTATATTTCTTAAGCTTAAACAATCTTAAACGAACAAGATATATACTTAATACAAAAATAAAAGAAATAGATTTACTCGGTTGTAATAATAGCACTCAATAGAAACGTTTCGTAATAAATAGATTACCTACTTACTACCTACTACTACTATACTTTTCAAGATTCCATTATATCTAAAATGTCAAACAATTAATTAGCTATAACCTGCGTAAAAAAATAGAAATGACATGTTGAGTAGTTTGAAGAGCAAAATGAACAGCTGTTTTGGCTTGCGGCTATCTTAGCTGTTTATCTATTTGTTTAGGCCAATATTAAATATTTTGAGAATTGTGTTATAATCACTCGTTAATAGCTTCGCACAGTAGCGAGGTCACATCCCCCCGCGCCGACATTCCTTTCGAGCCGGCTGACCGGACTCGCCTCGAGTTAGTGTAGAACTCTTTCGGTCGGAACGCTCGTTTCTAGTTTTATTACCTAATTTTTTGTCACGAACGGAGTTAAAACAAGTACCGCTGTCGTTGGCGGGAACACGTGTTGTTCTTTACGGATTTATAACTTCGGTTAAATCAATTGTGCAATTTATATAGAGATTTCGTTTGAAGTTCCTTTTTTTGACTGTACCATTACGTGAATAGACTGAACTAGTGCCTCAAGAAGGGAATTGTTCAGGGGCTACAACAGAATACCTTCTCTAGGACAGCATCGTGTCATCTAGCCCAGGCCACTTACACACAGTCTCACACAAATACCACCTACACTCACTACACTTTCATCAGCCGGGCAGATCCTGGTGAACAGTCTCCGCTCCCGAAGCAGTTAAGTGCCTTCCTGTTAAATGGCCTTCCCCCTTGATTGTGATAGGATATTTTCCAGTGGCCTTTAGAGGCCCGACCTGCGTCTGCCTGTAGAATTCCTGCTTGGGCCCCGGGATAGCCTATCTTTGCAGGGGTAGCCGTAGGCCGTATCATATTGGTAGCAGAGCGTGGTTGATTGATTTTCAATCACGCCACGGCCGTAATATTAATAATAATAACATAGTAGTACGTAATAATAAAATTCGTTCCTTTGTTGCTTGTTTTTCTTTGTTTGCTCGCGGTTAGGATCGCATCGGAATCGGGGAAACGCACGTAAGATGAACAAGCGGGAGTTTGTTAAGGCTAAGTACTTACCATAGTTTGTTAAGGCGAGGTACCTCGGCTAGGTAGATATGGTTGTCACGTAATCGGATAATTTGTTGATAGTACTAGGGTTTGTTACTTGTTAATTTGATTTGTGTTTTTTCGTGCTAACTAGTAGTTAATTTAATAAATGGTAATCGTATTTGTGTAATTTCTATTTAACTTGATTTGATAGGATTTTGTTACTCGTTTTTATATTTGTTATTTGTTAATTTGTAATTTTAAAGAATTTGAGCCACGTAGTAATTGTATTTAGTAGTGATGCCATCACACAAGCTACTGATTCGTTGCTTGCGGACTGAGCTGCGCTGGGTTACCAGCGCACATGCTTTGATAGGTCGACCGGATAGGGTCTATAACATGAGGAAGACGCTCGAGCAGGTCGATGCTCGAAGGGCTGCCGTGGAGCGGCCTTACGCTGAGCTCGAGGACTCGGAAGTGGAAAAGGGAGTACTGGACTCCTGCCGCGCGGACTACGAGCAGTTCCTCGCGCTCACGGACGATTTGATCGAGGCGGGGGCCAAGGACGCGGAGAAGGAGCGTGAAGCTCGGCTGAGTGGCCTGCTCGAGTCCCCTCGGAAGACGGAGCTGTTGGGACGACTCCCAACGCTGGACCTGCCAAGGTTCTTCGGGGTCCTCTCGGAATGGCTGACTTTCATCGGTCTGTTTGACAACCTGGTGGACGTCCGGAGGGACTTGACCCCATCCAAAAAATGGGGTACCTCCTGGCATCACTGGAGGGGGAGGCCCTGGGCGTCGTCGGTCACCTTAAGTTGTCGGACGACGCCTACCAAAACGCCAGGGACCTCCTCGCTGGAAGGTACGCCAACGTCCGGCGGATTGCTGACATTCACGTTCGGAGGCTGCTGAACCTCCCGCTGCTGAAGGACCGGACCAGACTACGTGAGGACATCGTGAATCCAGTCGTGGTGGCTTGCAAATCGTTGCGGCGGCTGGATTTACCGGTGGACGAGTGGTCCTTTTTGTTACTCCACATCGTGCTGTCCCGCCTGCCCCTCGACCTTCGGCTCCATTTTGAGGAAAGGTACGGCGGGGATGGCGCCTCGTATATTCCCCCCTTTAGGGACCTGCTGCGGTTCCTGGAGGAGCAGTGCAGGCAGTTGGAGAACGCAGCAGGCACCGGCAAGGGCCCTCCGGCTGTTGTCCGAGCGGTGCCCAGGGAGAGGTGGAATCCGACGGCCAAGGCATCGCCAACCCCCCCTGAGGCCGAGCGGAGCCCCTGCGGGAGGGTGCCCCCTCTTACCCTCTTATGGTGGCCTAGCGGCCAGGGAGGCACCCCCCTGCTCTTATTGTCGAGCATCCCACCACTGGGCGACGTCGTGCCCTAAGTTGTTGCGCAAGCCGGCTCCGGCGAGGCGAACCATCGCCAGGGAGTGCTGCTGGTGCTACTCGTGCCTGGAGAGGCATTTACAACGAGACTAGCCGCACCAGCGGCCCTGTACGCACTGACAGGGCAACCACCATATCATTTTGTGCCTGGGTGCGCGCGGCGCGTCCTCTCCGGGCCCTGCCAGCCCCCCGACTCCCACGGGCGGGGGCGCTCAGCCACGCCCCCTGTCGGACGACGCTCGGCGCTCGCCGGCTGACAACAGCGCCCCTCGTTCTGAGGGGAGTCCCTCCCCCGACCGGTCGGGGAGTCGTTCCCCCCCTCAGCGTGTTGAGAGCGGCTTCGCGGCCACTCAGCAGTCAACTAGACCGTTCTCACCCTAGTTGGCTGAGTGGCCGCGACTGGAACGCCGCCCGCCCCCCTTTGGTCGGTGCGGGTATTATCGGGTTCCGGAGACCTCGTTTCGGTCCCGGGCCTCGGGGCAGGGGATCCCCGAATTTCCCCAGGTCGGCCCGTTCGGGGAATTCCATCCGAGGGTCAGCGAGATGCCGTCGGAGGGCCGTTCTCGGGGCCCTCGGTTCGGGTGCCGGTCCGACAGAGGCAGCTCCAGATAGGAGGCTGCCGCCCTAGTTCCCGCCACGGCCGCCTCCACTGAGCCTTTGAGCCGCCAGCAGTCCACCTGTCAAACTGTTCTATTGCCGACGGCCTCAGTGAAGGTGTACAACCCGAGCGGCGACCGCTTAACGGTTCGAGCTCTATTGGATTCGGGTTCACAACGTAGCGTGGCCTCCACTTGGTTGGTGGGAAGACTGGGACTCCCATGGAGCTCTGAATCACGCCCGATGGTAGGTATCGGAGGCGCCGCGCCTCCTGCTCCTAGGGGACAAGCGCAGTTGGTGTTCAGCCCTGCCAGTGAACACCTTCACATTTTAGTCAAGATAAATGTCCTTGATGACATTGTAGGGTTTCTCTCTAACGTTCGTATAAACGACGGCGCGGTCCGCTGTGCGTCAGGTTTGAGACCGGCAGACCCTCGATGGTCCCAACCAGGTCCTATAGATTTGTTACTGGAGGCCGACGCCCTGGGGTTCATCTTATTAGGTGAGATACGAGCTCTGCAGCCCGATGGCTTGTCAGCCATGTCCACGATATTTGGGCACAGCTTCTTTGGACCGGTTATGTAGTCTCCTCCCCCTCCGACGGCCGACCCGCTCTCCGTTGTGGGCGTGTCCCTTTCGGACGCCGTCCAGCGGTTCTGGGAAATTGAGGAACCACCACATGCAGCTCGAGTCGACCCTCTGGACCGTGAGTGCGAGTTGTTCTACCAGAACAATACCGGCCGGTGGGTCGACGGTCGTTTCGTCACTCGCTTACCCTTCCTGGACTCACGTCCCTCTTTGGGTCAATCTCGTGCTCTAGCCGAGAAGAGGTTGCTTTCCATAGAGCGCCGCATGCGGTGCGACCCAGCCTTTCGCGACAAATATGTCGAGTTCATGCGCGAGTATCAAGAGCTGGGTCACATGTCACCGTCCAACTTCGAATGGCGTTCACAGGAGCACTACTTCCTCCCTCACCATGCGGTCTTGAGGACCCCTGAGAGTAAGATTCGGGTAGTTTTTGACGGCTCCGCCCCCACGTCAAATGGTGTGTCCCTGAACCAGTGTCTTCACTCTGGTCCTAAACTGATCAAGGACATATCCGACATCTTGACCCAATTCCGTCGACACCAAGTGGTTTTTGTAGCCGACATTCGGATGATGTTTCGACAATCAGTGGTCCATCGTGATAACCGTCGAAATCAGCTGATATTGTGGCGCGAAAAGCCCAGCGATTCTATACAGGTGTTTGAGTTGAACACCACCACCTATGGACTCCGGTCCAGCTCGAATATCGCCATGCGAACCCTCCTTGCCTATGATGGGTGACTTGCCGCCCGACCGCGTCAGGGCCATCCGACCATTCGCTGGAGTCGGAACAGACTTTGCTGGTCCCTTCCTCGTAAAGTCCTCTAACCTTCGTAACGCGCGTTCGCATAAGGCCTATCTTTGCGTCTTCGTGTGCCGCTCCACTAAGGCCGTTCACTTTTTTTTTTATAGGAGAGGGGGTAAACGAGCATGCGGCTCACCTGATGGTAAGTGACTACCGCCGCCCATGAACAACCGCAACACCAGGGGAATTGCAGATGCGTTGCTGGCCTTTTAAAAAGGAGTAGGCT